TTGTAAAGACATGTCAGATAATAAACAGAAACCTGGACAATGTGTTTACATGTCACAGCATGCTTTGTTTCCCCAAAATCACCTAGCAAGCATATACAGGTTGCTCAAAATCAGGATCACAGTTTGTTCAAGTTTTAATATATATTATCTGTTGATTACATATGCAAACACATTAGATAGTATACTCTAAAACCTGACTGTAACTAGGACGTAGTTGTGCATTTAAATGTTTTTTTGAACTTTATGTAAAGTCATGTATCACAAGGTAACAAAATTGTTCCAAAATGTGACATAATTGCTAGCAGTTAGTATTTTGTCTTTTCCCCCATTTTAAAATGAGTGGAAATGAATTAATTATTTTGGGTTGGAGCCCACTGACAAGTATATGATATGGAGTATTTAATACTGTGTTGCCTTAACTCCACAGAATAATGTGACTCTACTGCAGGGATGCATTGACCTGCTCAAGAGCAACTGACTGATGTTTCAAGTGTTCCTGTCCTTCCATCACCAAATGACGTAGCAAATGGAAACCTGGCTTCCCTGGGGCCTTGCACAGACATGATTCCAAGCCCTATTTCTGCTCCCACCCAAGGGTCTGATGCCACTTTAAACCCCTGCACAAGACCATGTGTCTTATAAGCAGAATGACTTCATGTTTACAAAGCCCCTGTCTTATGGTCTGTGGTCCCTCCTTTTCCACTATTTATGGAAGCCTAACTCCGTGTGAATGCCTCCAGAGAATGAGGCTGCCAGTGTTTAAGTTCTTCCAGCACCAATAGAGATGATTTTTTTTTCCCCTTTCCTTCTCATTTTTACATTATTCACATAGTAGAAATCTTGCTTTTTTGATCATGTCTCTGGTTCCATAACTTCTGACTCAAACCTCCTTCCCCATATACTTTTTTTTTTTTTTTTAAAGGGTTAGACAGTGTTTTCCACATAACTAACACCTCTGCACTACTATTATGTCCTCTGCAGCTTCTTCACCTCAGCCAACTCTGTCTTTTCAATGTGTAGTTATGGTTGTTTTTCTGTATTTCTGCTCTAGATTCCCATTTGTTACAGATGGGGTCTCATGTGTCAGACCTGATATATTTACCAGATCTGCTATACAGTTGGTTCGTGTAAAGCATTTATAAAAAGATACACTGAAGCAATGAACAACACTTTACAATCCTGACCAAGCTCAGTGAAGTGTTAAAATGCATTATAGTTTTTTAAGAAAGTGAATGTATTTCTAATGGATTCCAACAGACTGAATTCCATTACATGATGCTTTTCTTACAGAACTTTAGCATTTTATAAATTTGTAATGATTGCATTGAATAAATCCTACTTTCC